GAAATGTCCGTTGGTGTCCCCCCTCTCGGGACCCTCTTGAGGCCTTCTTGGGGCCCTATCGACCATCTTGGGGGCATCTTGGGCGGGACTCTCTTGGGCCGTCTTGGGGCCGTCTTGGACTGCATTCGGGCGCGTCAAGCCCCGGATGCTCGAGGGGCCAACTCGTCCACCGCGGGGAATCCGTCCGCACCGGTTCGTCCGCCGCAGCGTCAGCACCACACCAACCGACGACGACAACGCCGCCGTGCCCACGGCCGTGGAGACGGCCACACCACTGCAGGAGACCGTCCGCTTCGACGGTGTCTCGGGCCGCAGGGTCCACCGGGGCACTGCCGGGCTGGGCCACGGACTGCACGCCGGCACCGCAGCGCGCCCCAGGCCCAGGTCCAGCCCGATGTCGTCACTCTGGTCGGCGCGCGCCCCCGCGCTGCCCCACACTCTGCGCAGGGCGATGTCCACCTTGCCCGGGAGGCGGACGGCAGCGTGACCAGGGCCAGTGCCCGTCTGCCGCGCCTCCGGCCCCCTGCCCCCCGCGCTGCCGCCGCAGGGAGGGCCCAGTCTGCCGGGCCCGCGGCGCCCAGCACTTGGCGCCGCGGGCACTGCCCGTCTGCCGCGTCCCCCGGCCCCTCGAGGAGGAGGAGGAGGAGGAGGCGGAGGAGGAGGAGGAGGAGGAGGAGGAGGAGGAAGAGGCGGAGGAGGAGGAGGAGGAGGAGGAGGAGGAGGAGGAGGAGGAGGTCCCCCCGCTGCCGCCGCAGAAGAGGCCAGGCCAGCATTGGGCTCTTGGCGCCCCGCACCCCTGCCGCGGGCACGGGTGTGGGGGCCCGCGCGTGCCTGGCTGACCCGGGGCGGTTACCACCATGTCTCGTTCGTGGCGCTCTGCTTGGACGGCCTGCTTGCATCCTCGCGCTGCGGGCGCCCTGGCCAGACGTCCCGCCGTTACGCCTCGCTGGCTTTTCTGTTGTGTGTGTGTGTGTGTGTATATGTATGTTGTTCGCGTAGGGGATCGACCACAACACTGATTTGCCCCCAAACTGACTCCCTCGTCGAATCTACAACAAAAGCGCGCAGCATGTTTCATGTATTCGACCATTGAAATCTGGGCAAAGCAGTTCGGTAGTCCATCCCCTCCTCGAGTTGCCTGTTTTTCCCGCTCCATGGCCACGCTGGCGGCGCCTTGCTGCCCCTTCTGGCTGCCCCCTTGCCTCCTCGCGTTCGCGCTGCTGCTGCGCGCCGGCCGCTCCCGTGCATGGCGGCTGGTGACCCCCCCCCGCCCGGCTCTCCGTGTCCTGCCGCCCTGCCGGCTCGGCACCGCGGCTTCCGCGTGGGGCGCTTCCGTGGGCGGGAGGAGGAGGAAGAGGAGGAGGAGGAGGAGGAGGAGGAGGAGGAGGAGGAGGAGGCGGAGGAGGAGGAGGAGGAGGAGGAGGAGGAGGAGGAGGAGGAGGAGGAGGAGGAGGAGGCGGAGGCGGAGGAGGAGGAGGGAGGAGGGAGGAGGAGGAGGAGGGAGGAGGCGGAGGAGGAGG